TCTTGATGTTAATGGGTGTTGTAACTTAAAAAGATACTTTACTCTAATAAGTAAATGCAAATGCAGTAAGGATTACACTCATTTTCTTTCATCCCATCCAGCAATGATGGACATTTGGTTAGTAAATCTCAAATTCTAATCAGATGTTGTTAAAAACTAACAGGGAAAGTGCTGCACATTTTTAAAATGTTTAGCAAATAAGCTTAGGATCCACTGAAACTTTATTTAAATGATTTTAAAGTGGGTTATAACATTTTGTTTTTTGGCTATTAATATAACACTTGACTTTGAAAACTATGTCCTTAAAGGGAAAAGACCATTCATTCTGCCTTCTCAGTAGGAAATTGGTTTCAGGATAACCAAATTGGTTTCAGCCTCAACTGGAAGAGGGGAAGCTCAATTCCCATAAAAGAAAGCCAACTAATAAATGAAGGATGAATAAAATAATCAGAAATTATAGTTACACTGAAACCGTAATAAAATTGATTGAGGTAAGTACTATTAATTGTTTAAAACACTAGATGCAAGGTTGATGGGGAACTGAACATACAAATAATTCCAAAATAACACCATATGGAATCCATAAAGTCATAAAGGAGAAGACCATACATTGAAAGAATTTGAAGGTTAGCACTGAATTCAGTGGCCATTTTTAGCATCCTTAATGGTAATTTAGGTATTATATGTTTTCTGATACGATGTAACATATACTACTAATGCAGGAGCCTATAGACTTAACTTCCAGTTCACGAGACATACAGAGAATGGAGAAACAAGTTAAAAAATACCACAAGGAAGAAACCAGAAAAATTCAAAAGGTGGAACACTCCACAAGAGATCTGGTCTCTTCCATAAATCAGTGTTAGCAAAAAGGGACCATGCATGTGTGAGAGAGATTAAGGGCACAACAATCACACACAATGTATGGTCCTGGATTAGGTATTGCTTTGGACATTTTGGATCAACGGAGGAAATATGAATATAATATAATCCAGGTAGCGAGATGATGGAGTATGGATTAAAATGGAAGAATGGGCCACTGACCGAAAAAAAAAACACCAGGTGATAAAACTGTCCTGGTGAGCATAAAACATATGGTATATTACACATACATATGCACATGTCCTGCTCTTATAAATACAAAAGGGGGTTCTTTTTAAGGAACGTTTTCTAAATTTCTCAAGGGTATAAATATGGGTTTTGACATGACATTTTTCACAACAAAATGACAAAACAAAGTTTCAAACTTTTATTTTCAAAATACTCTCTTCACTATCATGAATTTGTTTTGAAAGGCACTTGCTTTTCCACTTAAAATTTCACCTGTACTTCCGATGACAGGTTAAATACCACTATCCCTCCAAATCTGGCTAGGTAATAATCACTGACTTATCACAACAAGGTAAACTTACTACTTCCTAAAATGATGTGATACACTTACCTTTTTGTAAAAAGAAAAACTCAGGTAACTTTTATATTCTTCAACTCTTCTACAGTGAGTGAGTACTTTTACTTTCACCATAATTTGTTAACAAAGCTCCTACCATTTCAGATAGTTGGTGAAACCATTCACTAGGCCACATAAAGTGCAATACTGGGAAATACACACATTGAAGACAAATGAATAGTTAGGCCAATAATCTCACTTCTGTCACAAGCGGCACCTGACCATCTGACAGAAGGGACTAACAGAGCATGAGTATATCAATCCAGTTTTAATAGCTGAGTATTTTGACTATCTGCAAAACCTAACCTCCTCTGTTTTTAAGACAAAAAAATAAATAGAAGTACTGACACTTCATTCTCAAGCCTCCTCCACACTCCATATTAGGTCCTTTTGAACACGTGAAGATGGAGAGGGCATTCCTTTCAGAGGCCCCGAGTGTAAAAGGATGGAGAGAGAGTTAGTCCATTCAGAATACTTCCTTCCTAACAGTTCTTCCTCCAGACTTTTTGTCCTAACATTACTGCACCATCTTCCAGGTCAATCACTAAAAAGCATTACTATTTCCAAAATTCCTCAACAACTCCAGAAAAGGTTATCAAGGCTGCAGATCAATTTTTAGGGAACTCTTCACTCTTTCTAAAAATCTTTAATCAGAGGATTCAGACTTCAACCAGATCAAATTCTCACCTCAAATCCATCAGATCCACACTTGATGTTTAATCTTTTGAGGTTTATATCTTGACACTCCTTTGCTACTATTAATAAATTTCCTTTTCTGGGGCACCTGGGTGGCTCAGTCGGTTAAGCGTCTGCCGTGGACTCAGGTCATGATCCCAGGGTCCTTGAATTGAGCCTGGAGCCCAAAGTCGGGTTCCCTGGTCAGCAGGGAGCCTGCTTCTCCCTCCCTCTCGGAATCCCCCACCTCCACTCGTGCTCTCACACAGTCTCTAATAAATAAACAAAATCTTTATAAATAAATAAATAAATAAATAAATAAATAAATAAATAAATAAATATCCTTTTCTTAGAAGTTTTCCTCCTGTTTTCCCACCTAGCATCATTTCAACTCCAAGCTCCTACTTCAGCCAACCAGTCATGGCTGCAAAGACTTTTGCTATATAGCCAAGAGCTATAATCCTCCTGGCAAGCTGGCTTCTAACTGAGCAGAGGAATGAACTCAAGTGAATGTCCAAATTGCTTACCTGGCACTTTCTTAATCAGTGCTAATCTGAGAGCGTAAAATCCTGAAAGGATTTCTAACTCTAAATATGTTAAATATAGAAAAATAAACTTCTACATGCCAAAATGCAACCATAAACAAAGTCAAAAGGCCAATACCAAACTTAGAACAACTATGACAACAAATTTTCAGTAAATATGCCAAGGGGTCATTGTTTTATCACTAGCAGTAAAAAACAACAGCAATAAGATTTTAAAGGGGCGCCTGGGTGGCTCAGCCGGTTAAGCAATAAGATTTTTAAAAAGAGATTTCTTATTTATAAAATTATCAAGCACTTTTTTTTTTTTTTTTAACAAAACCTGTGGTTCCCACCATGCTCACAGCCACCCTCTCTGGCGGTTCTTCACACTGAAGTTACCATGTCTGGCTCCCTGAGACCCGTCCCTGCCTGCCCCCTGCCTCCACCATCTTGGGGACATCTCATCTGACCAGAGACAAATAAATGACTGACACAAGAGCAGCCCAGGCAGAGCTCTGTGTGTTCTATTCAGAAGCACATTCTCCTGAATGGAATGTCTTTAGCCATTTCCTCCTGGATAATGTAAAGACTTTTACTGTCACACTAAGGGCCGTATCTCCAGGGTTCCCTTTAATATTTTACAAACCCCAAGAATTCTGGCTGCATCTCTTTTTCTGTAAAGCTGTCATGATTTATTCTAATCCATGAGGTTCCTCTCCCCAGCAAGGGGCTAAGTAATGGCACCAAATGCCCCAGCCACCTCTCCATGCTCTTTTTCTTTCGAACTTGCATAGGCTTTTTTTTTTTTCCCTAAGAATTTTTGTTGCTAAGCATAATAAAAACCAGGAGAGATGGGGGGAAAAAACAAACAAAAGCACCACATCTGGGTAAGTTTAAGAAGTCAAATTTTAGTAGACCTAATCTACCACCTGTGTTTCACACATTCAGAGATGGTAAGAAAACTTAGAGCTGGCCCAGAAACATTTCTTCTGTGAGCACAAGAGGAAAACAAAAGCAAAAAGGCTTTAATCACATTTGCTAATGATTTACCTTAAACACAGAAAAGGAATTATGAAATGTTTAGGTGCAATCTCAGTACCACCAACTTCTGGTTTAATCACTGCATATTCCAAATTATTAAACTATATACCAGAAAATAATTTTCAAAAGGAGGAAAGCATGACAGAGGCAAGGAGCAAGTTGGGGGAAGGAAAAACTTATCTAAAGAACTTCAAAAACAATCCCCTTATGGTGGGTGGGAGTAGAAGACACATCCACTCACTATTCTCCAGTGAACAGGATAGCTAGCTTCCACACCCACAAACAAAAAGATAAGGGGCACTATTCTGGAGGAGCTCTTTGCCTACTCTGGAAAAACTGTTGCTAAGGTACTCCTGCAGATGAATGTACTAGGCAGTGATAAAATATGATTCTAAAAACAAAGATCTTCCATGATGCTTATAAATAAATGAAATTTGTAACTCTTAAATAAATACTGGCTATTCCAAAGCTTATTTTCCAATGATTGAAATAAACCTCGGGACACCTGGGTGGCTCAATCAGTTAAGCATCTGACTTTGGTGCAAGTCATGATCCCAGGGTCTTGGGATTGAGTCCTGCATCAGGCTCCTTGCTCAGTGGGAAGTCTGCTTCTCCCTCTCCCTCTGCTTGCTGCTCCCCCTGCTTGTGCTCTCTCTCTCTCTCTAACAAATAAATAAAAATCTTTAAAAAACAACAACAAATAGACCTCTCAATGTCCTATGTAACCTACATAGTATGTAACCTTTTTCTGACTCAACATGTCCTCATTCTAGATGTTTTCATGAGAATGGAGAGAATCCGTAAGAATAGACTTAAGAATCACACCTTAGTTAGGAAAAATTGCCTATATTCAAATTATAAAGCACTCTTACCTCATGTGATACACTTTGAAGTTTTTCTAGAAAAAAAATCAAATATTGGTCCTGACTCCACTTTCACAACTTCACTAAATGGATCATGGGTTTATAAAAACACAGCTTCGGGGGCATTATTTTCTAACCTTAAGTGCTATAACACATAAAAAGGTTTTCACAGTAGTTGGTCAATTTAAAAAAAAATAGGCTTTTTAAAGAACAGTTTTAGGTTCAGAATAGCAAAGCTAAGTAAAAGGTACAGAAATCTTCCATATACCCTATCCCCCCCAAATATGCACAGCCTTCCCTGTTGGTCAAATCTTTAAAAGCAAAACATGTTCTTTCTGGAAAGAAATCAAAATATTATCTTAGAAAAAGTAATTTCAAAATTCCAACTACAATTTAAAGTACCACTGTTGTATGCATTTTTACTAATATGTTAGGAAATCAGTTACTTACCATATAACATCCAATAAGGAAAGCAGCATTCGCTTGTTTTCTCTGATCAGAGCCAGTAAAATGAATAATTTTCTTCCTCATCATTGTGATGGACTACATAAAGATAAGCAGGTATTAGTATTTTCTCTTTAATTTCAAGTTTTCTAAAACTTCATTTTGTGATGAAGATAAATTCCAAACCTTACAATGTATAAGCATTCACCTTAGCAAGATCTTTAAAATGATTAACTTTGATGCCCCAAAATGCTATGTACCTTCCCATAAAAGACATGTTCTTGGATTAAGATGAAAGTACAGTTAAAGGGTGGGGAGGGGACATGAACAGATATATGCTTGGAGTATAAACTCTGAAAGAATACATAAGATGCTGGAAAAGGCAGTGAGGGGGGAGGGAGACTTTTCTTTCCTTTTCCTGTTTTTGGTTTTAAATCAATTCCCAAAACCGTTATAATTAAAAGGGTATATTAAAACAGGCAAAAATAATTCATTCTGTTAGAAATCAAGATGGTGAACGGGGTAAGAGGGCAGGGTGAGGGTGGAGCAGAGATAAGAGAGCAAAAGTGGGGCTCTTATGTGGTGTTGCTAATGTTGTTCTTGATTTGATGACCAAGATGATTACCTACATATATTCAGTTTGTGAAAATTCACTGAACTGTGCACTCAAGATCTGCACCTATTTCTGTACATACATTATACTTCCATAAACAGTTAAATAAAAAGGGTATGGAATTTAAAAACCAAAAAAGTGTATGATTATAGTTAGCACCTCCTCACCTGTATTTCACTAACGTGAGCAGAAACAGATTCAGGTAAGCATAAGGAAAAGGATATATTCAGTTCAAAAAGCACATATTTCTTGGTTTCTGTGAGTCAATGATGAACGTGTACATATTTTCCTTTAGTTGTTTACATAGAATAAGAGATCCAAGTTGATTTTAAAAAACAAAAACAAAACCCAACCAGCCATAGAGAAACACAAGCACAAGACCCTTTAATTCAAACTCTCAACACACTTTTGTCACTAATTGAATAGGCAGTAATGTTTCCATCAAGTTGGATGGTCAACACCCTGAAAGTTGTTCTGGTAAATGATAAAAAGTTAAAAAAAAAAAAAAAGGGACCAATATGCCAATATATTCTTGGTTGAGTCAAAGGATAAAAGGTGGAGTACAGGAAAGAAAAAAAAAAAAAAAAGTCTTTCAAAATTAAAGCAAAGAAACACAAGCAGGCGGCGGGGGGGCTCAGGGAGGAAATGATTTTTAGCTTCCCAGCCCTGTATGAACAAAAGACCTGCCATTAGCAACTGGAAAAAAGGAGGAAGGTGTGGACATAAATATACAAGGCTATAAATGTTTTTTTTTTTTTTTTAAGATTTTATTTATTTATTTGACAGCGAGAGACACAGTGAGAGAGGGAACACAAGCAGGGGGAGTGGGAGAGGGAGAAGCAGGCTTCCCGCAGAGCAAGGAGCCCGATGTGGGGCTCGATCCCAGGACCCTGGGATCATGACCTGAGCCAAAGGCAGACACCCAACAACTGAGCCACCCAGGCGCCCCAAGGCTATAAATGTTTATATTCCTATTCAAGAGAAAAATAAAGTCCAGAAAGAAGAGTCTCCATCTCTACATAAATCTGTAGGGTAAACATATAATATAAAAAAGAAAAGGCAACTCTCCAACTTCTATTTTGCAGACTAGTAACTCCTTTGACAGGTGCTTCTAACATTCATAACGGGGAATTTTAGGTTTGAGGCTCAAGGAAAAAAAAAATCTGCCTTACTCACTCATAAATTTGTAATACAATTTAAAATTTAATTGAAAATAAATTTTATTTCTTCTGTGTATTAGTATGGTAAGTTATCAATTGGATAAAGTTGTTTTTTAAGAACTACCTACCCTTAAGTCCAGTATTTCCTACTTGAGAATTTACAGTGACTAATTTGGAATTGCTAGCAGTACATAAACACTTTTTATTGATGTGACCATAACTTAGAAGTTTTTTAAATAAAGGAATGGGGTCTGAGTTCAAAGTAACAGAAGTACAATTTTGCAACTCTCACATACCCAGTCTTAAAGATACGCTGTTTGCTCTTGCTTTCCCTGCTCCTTAATGGTATGTATAAAGGTGGGGATGAAGAGTCACAGGTAGTACAATATCATGGGAGATTAAAGATAGAATGGAAGTAAGATGAGCCAGTATTTTTTATTACTTTGCTAGCACTCTGTCAAAGTAAAGGCAGAAAGAACAAGGACCAAAACAAGGAAAGTTCCTCTTGTTAGGTTTCAGTTCCATTAGATCAGACAGCAAGAGGTTTCAGGTTATTAACCAATTTATACTTTGGCTTTTCAAGTATCTGAGCATCACCAATCCAAACCAGAACCAAATGACCCAATCAATCTTAAACCATTCAGTCAAAACTCTGGAAAACAAACATATATACAGTATGACTATATAAAACAAAAATCACATGTATGTCCCAAACACCACTGCAGTGAGAAATAAGACCTTTTTTTAAAAAAAATAAAAAACAGAGGTATGTTTTCCTTTCTTTTCCCTCCCCAGAATCAGACTAACAATGATTACCTAAGTCAAATCTTAAGTAAAAAAGATTTTACCTTTAATTTCTTATTTATCTTGCAACAATATCTGTAAACCATTGCCAGATTGAGTGGTCCAAAATCTGCGTAGAAGCTTTAAAAATGAAAAACAAAAACATACATATACATTCTAGATCCTCTAAATATAAATGCCTTTTTGGAACTACAAGATCCATCTAAGACAAGAAAGCATACACCAAATTGTTATCGGTCATACAGCTCAATGATACTGCCGTACTAGTGGTAAACTAGTGGTATTGTGGTAAGGAATGCCTATTAAAAAATATGACAAATGCTACAGTGCTTAAATCTAGCCTCAATAACATCTGAATAAAAAAGCTGTTTTTCCACATTTTACTTATTAGTATACTAGTTTATATCTCATTGTACTTTAAGCTGCTAGAATTTCAAATATAAATTGTTATATTTAGGAAGGTTCCTTCATTTTGATATTTTCCCTAAGGATCTACCTTATTACCAGGGTTATACTACAAGAAAAAAACATTCTGCAATTATCAATCAACAGATTTGTAATTTTCCAAGGCTATTCTATTTATAAACATACCTTTAGATTCTTCAAAATAAAAAAGTTACTAACAATCATTTAAAAAGCAGTACTTACTTCTCATATTCAAGTTCATTATCTATGCTGAAATAATGTACATTTGATGAACTCTTTGGTCTGCTGTAGAGAATGGCAAAACAAAGGCGATCTGAAATGGAAAAATTGCAATGTTCCTTCCTTCAGGTTATTAAAAAACGTTTCACATATCATGATGCAACTCTTTTCAGATGAAGTCAAATTTTTATTTTTTCCATGCATGGTAAGAGTGCCAATGGGTAATTCAAAGTGTTCTGCTATTTTGGTAGGTAACAATAAATAAGCAACATTTTTAAAGGAGAAATTGTCTTAAACCATGAATTTCAATAGCCGTAAGTAATTTTTCACATAGCAATATGGCTAGATTTCTAGAGGAACCTCTAATTACAAAACTTTGGTTCCCCTGGGCTAAGAAATTTTAGCAAACAGCAGCATGCATTTGATAGCTAAGCAGATTACTTGCGCTATGTTTTGCTAGGTTTTCAAGTCATCCTAAAAGTCATTTGAATAGGAAACTGTATTTTTTTAAATAGAAGCTAAAGAACGCTATCAAAATCGCTGCAAAATTAACGTTTAATGCTACAGAACACACAACAAAACAAACCATGTGTTTATTCGACTGTTCTTAGGGATCACTACTTTTGTAATTAGACAAATTACCATTACAACAGCAGCAATGAGAGGTTTCTCCAAGATGAGTGTGAGATGAACTTGTGTTGCATAAATGCAGTTAGGCTGCTGTGAAGTTTAGCAAGAATGGTAAGGAGCAGTATTGCTCAGAGGCTCCACCCCTCCTCCCCTGCCTCACCCCCAAAAAAGTTGCCTAAAAATCCACGGGGAAGCAGTCACTTGCAATACCTACTAGAAGTAGTAAGTAGTGCTAATAGAATACTTACTTACACTCAGATTGTGGCAAAATCAAGTACAGCCTTCAAAATAGTAAAAAACAAAGAACGCCAGCTGGCACCCTTTCCCCAAATGGTAATTTAAACAATTTTTGTCTGCAATTCAACTCACACAATCGCTGTAATTATTTCCTTGCAAACTCCTCAACTGAAATGTCTTACAACCACAAACTCTCAAACAGATGACGGAGCTTATATCTTTCCAACCACAAATGATCCTTGATCCCCGTGCACAGAGTGACCTGGATTTTGCTCCCATGGGTGAGTAGGGGCAACTCCTCTGCCAGCCAGGGGTGTAAGGACACCAAGTTCCCAACTGCACACGTCTGTGCGGATTCGCCCCAAAGCAAGACCACGTCTGGGGACGAGGAGTCCCGGGAGGCCACCCACGCCTTTGAGACAGCATCGGCCCGGCCCCGAAGTTGAAGGGCGGCTCTTGGCCGGCAATAGGCGCCTCCTTGCCTCCCCCGGCACGGCCTGACACCCCCTAAATACGGTTGTCACAGCGGCTCCCGGGACAGACAAGCTCCGCGCCACCGCACTCACCTTTGATCACCTCCGCCACCAGAGGGGTCCCTGCGCCCTCCCGGCTCATGACTCCAAAGCATCTGGAAGGCGGGGCGGAGGGGAGGACTGGGTGGCCAGGGAACAACCAGCCGCTGAGAGAGGAGGCGCCACGACCACACCCCCAAAGTTTAAAAAAACAGAAAGTTTAAAGGGCCGCGCCCAAGCGCAGGGCACAGCGACGCCCCTCGGCCACCCACCACACAGCAGACGCGGGCCAGCCAACCCCGGAAGTTCAAAACTTCTCAAACGTCCCCAAACGGAGCGGCGAGGGAGTGGGGCGCAGAAACCAGCCCCAGCCGCCCGGGCTGAGCTTCGGCCCGCCTCGGGGCCGCCGGGCGGTAGTCTGCAGCCAGTCGTCTGCAGCGCCAGGCCTTGCCCGGCAGCAATTTTGCATTTGAAGTCGAGGCCTGCAGCAAAGCGCGGGAGAGGCGGACGCCAGCCTCGTAAAAGCAAGTGGCTCCAAAAGCCATTAAAAGGACTTCTCAGAAGAGAAGGGCTCGGTGGGGAAACCTGCCAAGCGACGCGGGGGGTCCTCCCACAGCCGCGCACTCAGCTGCCCTCGCCGCCGCCGGTAGGGGGCACTGCGGCCGGAGCGTCACAGGCGGGGCGGGGGAGGCAGGGTCCTGGGCCGGGACTTCGTCCACTCCTCGGTCGGGTCGGGTCCAGACCCGCTGGGTGCCGGGCTCGCGCGAGTGCTGGCGTCTCATCTAAAATGGGCTCTCCAAAACTGTTCAGGATTTAAAGGAAAGCCTAAAAACTGAGGCCATGCGGTCCTTTAAAGGCTTTAGGGGCGCCTGGGTGGCTCAGGTGGTTAAGCGACTGCCTTCGGCTCGGGTCATGATCCCAGGCTCCTGGGATCGAGTCCCGCATCGGGCTCCCTGCTCTGCGGGGAGCCTGCTTCTCCCTCTCCCACTCCCCCTGCTTGTGTTCCCTCTCTTGCTGTGTCTCTCTCTGTCAAAAAAAAAAAAAAAAAAAAAAAAATCTTAAAAAAAAAAAAAGGCTTTAGATTGCGCCTCAAGAAAACACTGGGATGTTGAAAAAATTCGGACACAATACTAAGCATCCATTTAAAGTATTTTCTAAATCTATGCTACTGTGTTAGTCTCAAGTGAAAAAAAATTAAGATACAGTGTGAGTATGGTCCCGATTTTGTTATATATATTGGTGCCGGGGCCATGGCTGATTTTAGTTTCCCCCTGTTATTTTTCCAAATTTCTTACAGAAGAGTATTGCTTTATGCATGAAAAAATTTGTAATGACTCTCCCTTACAAAGAAAGGCAATACGGTACAACTCTTTCCCCCAAATTAGAGTCTCAATACAACATACGCATTATATCACAGTATATACATCTTTGCATCAAAAGTAAGGGGCGCCTGGGTGGCTCAGTCGTTAGGCGTCTGCCTTGGGCTCAGGTCATGATCCCAGGTTTCTGGGATGGAGCCCCACATCGGGCTCCCCACTCCGCGGGAAGCCTGCTTCTCCCTCTCCCACCCCCCCTGCTTGCGTTCCCTCTCTTGCTGTGTCTCTGTCAAATAAATAAATAAAATCTTAAAAAAAAAAAAAAAAAAGTAAGCCTGCATACCTCCTAACCTTATTCTAAAATTTGCTGACAGATCAAAGACTTTAAATGTAAAAAACAACAGTGAATTATTTCTGTACTCTCCAACTGGGCCTTTCTAAATGAAACAAAATCTAAAAGCCCAGAATCAACTACTAAATTGATACACATTTTTAAAATGGTCTTCATGGCAAATAAACATAGAAAGCCAAAAGATAAACTGGAAAAATATTTTTAAATTCATCTCATGTTGATGCTGAATTTCAAAATACAAAAATGCAAACTGAAACTACAAGGTACTATTTTGCCTTCAGACTGGCAAAAATCAAAGGAGTTTCGTAAGGCATCGTGTTGGTGAGTCTGTGGGGAAACAGGCACTTTCTCTCACTTTCCTGTGGGTAGGAATATAAACTGGGACAACCTCCTGAAGGGCAAGGAAGGGCAATTTGGCAGAAATTTTCAAGACTGAAAACTGGCTAGACTGCCAAGATAGGGGGTGCCTGTGTGGCTCCGTCCGTTAAGCGGTGGCCTTCAGCTCAGGTCATGGTCCCAGGGTCCTAGGATGGAGCCCTGCATGGGACTCCCTGCTAAGCGGGGAGTCTACTTCTCCTTCTCCCCCTCCCCCGCCGCTTGTACACTCTCTCACTCAAATAAATAAATTAAAAAAAAAAAGATTGCCAAGATAGGCTATTTAAATACTACCATTTCTACCGTTTATTTGAGTGTATGTAAAGTATATATACACATTTGTATGACCGTACATGAAATCTTGCATAGCAAATCTCAGGAAGGATATACAAGAAACTGGTAGTAGTGGTTGCCTTACAGGGGGAAACTGGGTGTTCAGAAACACAGAAGGGTGAGATTTATGCCTTTTTAAAACTTTCAAATTTTGAACCATATATTACCTATTCAAAATTATGAAGCTTTTGAAAAGTGAACTTGCAGGCTAACAGTGTTTTTCCAAAGTTTACTCTTCGTCAAGATACAAAACATATTGTATGCACAGCACAGGGCAACCTGGAAAATGTCCTTTGCACACATTTAAAAAAGAGAACTAGTAACTTCTTCTGAATTCTACCTATATATATCTTGAAATCCAGTTTCTTTTAACAAACCCAAATAGAACTGGGAATACCTAGAAGGAAGTGGGAAGAGATGTTTATATATTACAGGGAAGAAAAAAAGAATCACTGATTTTTGATGTCCAATTATCCTTATAGAATATATTCTCAGTACTCTATTGTTAGAATAATATTGCAATAAACTGTTACAGAGACTACAGTGCTGTGATGAGAGCTATTTACTAGAAACTACCTGGAACTAGAAACAGGGATCTTTACAAAGTTCTGCTTAAAGGTTCATGATTAAACTTATAAACCCACTATAAACCCACTTATCTTCCACTTAATGGTTCTGTTGTCAAGAACAGAAAACTGAAGTTTTAAAGTAATAAACCTTCTTGCCTATTTACGCCTGTCACATAATGCTGCCTCTCTTGCTTCCCTGAGTAATACAATACAGAAGGAATTGAAATCTCACCATTTTAAAAATGTTAACAGAAACATTCAACATCCTCACGCCAAAGTTGTTTGTTTTATTTTGGCTTTTCGGTTTCCAGTTTGCTACTTCTTCCTTTAATAACTATGTTAAATAAGTGAAAAACATTTTCCTGCATAACAAATATTTGGGGATAATTAAACAGTGGGGTATGATCTAAACCAAGTGAGAAATATATGTAGGAGTCAGGTGGCACTGATAATACGGTATATACCACCTTTTAACAGAAAAGATTAAAAACTCTACTTGGACATAATAGACACAATGGATTTCCTACTATTTCTCTTTACGCCTGGAACTGGACTGACTTCACAGATCTTGGAAGAGCAGCTGGAGACATGACCAGCTTCCCTAAAGGATAAGGGAGCTCACTAGAAGACAAGCAGAAAGGAGGATTCCATATACCTATGGAACAAAAGAGAACAGGTAAAAAAAAAAAAAAAAAACAGTCTCCACCTGAGAGAGAAGGCAACAGAGACATCAAGCTCTCATCTGCATGAGAGCACACATCTTTGAAGGG